TTAATTTGTTCAAGGAACATTTCAGGTTGTGTTGGGGGTGGGGTGAGGGATGTTATTATCGGAGAGAAAACGTTTAGGTCTATATTTGGAAGAAATTTTGTGCCTCAATAATGCTACGAGCTTACAAGAATAATACAAGTAATACTTCAGCTCTAAACATACCGATGTGAAAAACAAAACAAGTTTAACAGTCGATGTCAGAAATGAACAAGACAAGTGTTCGAGCATATCCAACAAGGTAAAATAACACGGGCTGTACAATAAAGGCCTCTGATGATCGAAAGAAGTTTAATCTTCTTTCTATAAAAGCAATATATATGTTTCCTTTTTGATTAGCTAATAGAGCGTTTTCACTCACGTAACCAGCAACCTTGCAAATTTATTGGAACAAAAGAAAGTGTTTACATAAGAAAAGAGTTGAACTCCCGCAGGATTGGTTTAGTACACCAACATGGCCGCCGTTTCAATGTGCTGGAACACCAATATGGCTGCCGTGACGTCTTATGAAAACGCTGTATTGGTTGGTTCACTCAATTGGAAATTGCTTTATAGATTGCAACAAATCCAAAACCAGTCACTATTTGGCGCTTTTGTAACTTCTCAGCGCAACTTTAGGCGGCATGAATTTTACAGGCGGATTTACGCTTAAGCATAAACACAGTGTTGACCAAAATTTAAAAGAATGAAGACTGCACGGGTTGCTTTGTTGTTATGCTTTTCGCAATTGTGAGCATAAATCCCGAGGGAGGTACTCCCCTATATGGCCTATATAGGTATGTGCGGCCCTAAAGAGTGTGGTTTCTTAGCTGTTTTGGTAAGAAAAAGGGTATCGATACTAGCCATTTTGTATGGGTAAGGTAAGGCAATTTTGTAAGGGTAAGGGTTTTGGAGAGCGTGCCGCACACCCTATCCAAATTTTCAGGGAGAGAGTACAAATCAACCTTATTCTTACCCTGATTTCGGGTTTGTGCAGTTTGCTGACGTAGTAATTTGTACGGTTCTAGCAAAGGTGGTAACATTTAAATAAGCAAAAGATCATATGTTAAATTGACGTGCGCTCTAATCAGCGTTTTATATTTACTGCGTATCAATGTTTCCAGGTTTTGTGTTCCAGTGAGGCGGTTTCTGCACAACATGTGACTCCTCACAACTTGGACTGCATCTTAGCTGACAAACTGTCCCTTCTCAATTTCGCCGCGTGAGCACGAACCTCGTATTCGTGTAGATCGGCAAAATCTGATGCAAGGGTGCAGATTTGAACACCATATTGTAGGCAGCTTTAAATCGACTGTTACGGAACGCTAAAAGGAACGGGTTTAGCGCCGAGTTAAGGTAACCAAACATCAGCAGTACAATTCGAACTTCGCACGGAATGTGGTTTGAACACGTTTCACATAAGGTGGCGACAATACTGATCGAGGAGTATGGAACCCAACAGCAGAAGAAAGCCCCCACGAAGATGGAGATGGTCTTGGCCGCTCGGACGTTTTTGGAATAAACCTTTATTTCTTCTGTCGAACGTAGTTTTCGGCTCTCAGCTCCGCCAAAGTTGTGCTGTTTGCGAGCGATGAGATAAATCTTGATATATATGGCACAGGTTATCAGCAAAGGTAAAATAAAATTTAGAGAAGAAATGAGCGTCGTGTACTCCAAGTGAAAAGGGAAATAACAGACACTATTGTAGACGAACCTCTCTTCTGTTCGCCAGCCCATGATGGGAAGTAAAGCGAACAGCAAACTGTATAACCAGATAACGAGGCTGATGATCAAGGCTCTTTTCCGAGTCATGAATCTGGAACGGCGGAAGCGATTCAGAGGATCACTGAGGCTCTTGTAACGATCAACGCTGACGGCCAAAAGGGTCAAAATCGAGGTGGGTACAGTGATGAGGTACACCGTGATCCAGGCCTTGCACATT